AATTTCACTCGAATGTCAACATCTGATTTTGAAACTTTATACCAAATGATCGGACCTTCCATAGCCAAATATAATACTACGGAACGCTGTTGGCCCTCATATCAGACTTGCCATTGCATTAGGATACTAGTTGTCGACTGGAGATTCTTATGCTTCCACAAGAGACACTTTCATCGTCTTCGTCTTCCATATAATCCTCGTCATCAGAAGTATCGCTATCGTCTCCTACTTCAATTGTAAACCGGTCGATTTCGCTATAAATAGCTGGAGGTGCTCATATTCTTTCCGCCATTCTTCTTCGATAATCGTTGCAAAGGCTTCTTCTGTTATTTGGACAATTTTGTGTGCTTCTTGACCCACATTTTTTCAGCAATTCGTATTTTTAAGAGACTCCATATGAGCTCTATGGGGTTTAAATCACAGGGTTAAGGTGCAAGCCTCACCACTTAATGCACGTACTCTCTGCATTCATTTTATCTGCTTCATATACTGGTAGCTGTTTGTGCTCTTTAATAATTTCTTATAGCTGAGCCTTTACCATCGTCGGCAAATACGAAAGTCCTTTACCTGTAATCCATTTCAGCTTTTGTTCTTGTTTTTGAAGGTTCCTTATCAACCTCTACTGTGTGGTAAGAAGCATTATCTATGATTGATTGACAATTATATAGAATTGACTGGGAAGGTAGGTTCTGTATTAGCTTTGCACTAAGCCACGTCATGAAATTGTTTTTGTTCGTATCATCATGATAGTCAGCCGTTCGTGACTGAGATCTAAAGATCAGCTGAGCATTGGGTATGAAACCCATAGCACCACCCGCGTGAACGATAATCTACCGGGATCCTTTAGTCTGAAGATAATACGCTTTATTCAGATTCGCTTTGCCAGTATTTTCCAGCGCAATATGTTGTATGTATTTAAGTCTCGTCCAAATAAACAGCTGGGCGCTGGTTTCCAGGACGATTTTTCCGTAATTCTTCCAGGTACCGATATCGCCGGGCGACAATGTTGTATCTCTCCATTAGTACAATCCTTTTATAAAAATCTTTTTTATAATTCTCCACAAAGTGGTGCGACTTCGTTTAAAATCGATTTCGCTTCGCATTTCATGCGGATTATGGATTAAAATTACGGAATAAAATTCATGAATTTTATACCTTTTAGCACCGTTCGAAGTCGTCGTCTTTTGCGTGTTATTAAAACCTTTATCGACGTGCTGGCTGCCACAACTTATTTGGTGATTTTGGACACAGTTTTTTCGGATATACCTAAAACAAATATTCTATTTTAATTTTATCTATTTTAAAAGTTTTACGACTACACCAACAATAGTTGCAGTACAACTTCTTAAGTCTTATAGTCCGCGCATTCTATCTTGGCCGGGCTGAAGTTGGCTTTTGTGCATGTAGAAACGCTAGTCGACACAGATGTGCTACTTCATATTTGCTCCTAACATCGGAAGCAGTTTGTTTTGTTTATATCGATTATTGAAAATTATTATTATAATGAAATTTTCTTTATCAATTTCAACGAAACAATCTAAATATAATTAAAATTACAATAAACATTTTGAATATAAGTATGTGTTAATATATATGATTATGTGTTAATCTATTTAAATATACGGGTATTTAGGTATTTGCTAACAATATAATATCATAATATATTTTGTTATATATAATGTGTATTGATTGACTGGTAGAGACTGCCTTTAGGCATTAAGTCCATTTTTTTTACTTTGTATCTTTTTTTCTAATGGGAAATAATAATTTTTTTTAAATTAAAAATATTATAAATAAATGACTGTATTTAAAATGATATGTTGAATTTACACACCAATGAACAATAAAAAACATGTGTGCAGTTCAAACGCGATAGAAGTGAAACCTTTAGGAAATGCGAGAAAAATTTCTTTGTAATAGTATAAAATCTACTTCATTTAATAGGTAAAGTCAAGTCATTTATCGAACAAAAATTGACTCTCAAGGTGGTACGTAAAATACTACTAATTTAATATAAATCGGTAAGTTATGAAATCGTGGATTGTTATGAATGGATTAAGATAATTTTATTCAATATCGTTAATCTTTTTTTATTTAATAAATTTGTTAATTTTTTAACTGTTTATGGTGCTTTACCGCACAAAGCGGAGGCCGAGATAAGGGGAAACTATATAATGTATTCTATCTCATTCTCTCACGGGCTAAGTCCTATAGATGCATTTATATACTTGTTTCTTATTAGTGTCACGTTCTCGTTTCATCAAATTTCAAATCACAACGATTTTAAAAAGTTAGATAATATAAAATAAAATCGAATCATAATTGATTATAACTATAATCGATTGTTCGTAACATTTTTTAATCTGTGGTAATTGTAACCGCGCAATATTCGTATTCGCATCTCTAGTTTTAGCTAACGCCCATCCTCTCACTCCTCTTGTTACCATTTTGTTCCTAAAAAACTATATCTAAGTTCCGTTCCAGGCCAAGTTAAAATGCGCGGGGTATACAAATTATTATGACATTATAATTATGAAAATATATATTTTGATTGGTTGAATAGGGAAATTATTATCTGTAACTGGTAACTCTATTTTCCTAACTTGCAATAGCAGCGACACGAGCCTGAAAACATCGTAAAGAAATTAATAGAGCATAATTACGTTTTTCACGTTCACAAAAGTTTTTCACCTTTTAAGATCGTAGTTTTTTTAACCTCTTTTTAAAATTTTTGCATGATTTTTAGCCAGAAATCAAATGAAAGTTAATAAAATCACCAGTAGTCTCCTCGTATTGAAGTCGTTGACAGATGTTGGCACTGGGAGCCAACACAACAGTGTAGGAATTATTTGTTGAAACGCACTTAACTCTAGAACCCTACCCATATTTTACAGCGACTTTTCTTACCCATTTGTAATGTATTTTTTTTGTATATAAACTGTTTTTTTTTAAATCAACTTAAAAAGCAAATAGTAAAAGTAAACGGTTTAACATATTTAAAACAAACTTTTATCTGATGCTCTTCACAGATTGGCGTTTTACACTTGTTGCAAAAGGTATTACTTTTTCTATCTTTTTAATAGGGGCAGAATCTACAACGTCCTTGTTTAACGACACTAGGAGCTGGTCTATCAGGCTCATTTGGCGTTTTGAGTATGCCCTTTATCATTTGGCGGCTATTGTGGCTCAAAGTAGGCCAATTTTTTCTTTCTTTTAAATAAGGTGTTATGAGCTATAAGGAAAGTTTTCAGATATGTCCGTCTATTAGGTATATTTTCCTTATTTATTGAGGAACTAAACCTCAACAATATCATAGAGTTGATACCGACTCTATTCAATAACCCGTTAAACATGCATAAAGACCAGCGACGAGTCTTACGTGACACTGAATAGAAATGGCACAATTGGTCAATTAAGTATATCTACTTCCCCTTTTGTTTTGTTATAAAAATCGATCATTTCGGACAAAGAAACAGTTTTATCTTTATCGGAAAGAATGTGCATTGTTGACAGTAAATTTACAACCTTCTTCTGGCTACCTTTAGGTGGACAGTAAGCTAGTAATGTAAGAGGTCCACTGTAAGCAAACTTGGCGGAATTTTTCACAAAAGGACGTTGGTCTTTCATTTCTGCAGCTATCTTTTTTTATTTTGTCTTCGAGTTCCAACTAATGTTATATTCTTTTCAAGTAATGCAGTAGCTGATGGAATCGAAGTAAACCAATTGTCACAAGTCATTTTTCTATTGGTGCCGTGTAAAGGAGATGTCAAAGACTGTAGATAATTAATATACTGTAGATAATTAATTAATCTGCGACGGGTTGTGTCCTTGGAGTACTTTCTTTGCCTAAATATACTTCTGCGTTTATCATGTAAAATGTTTTTGAATCACACAACAGTACTATTTTTAAACCATACTTATCGGGTATTTTGGGAATATACACCGGCCCCTGAATCCAAGCAGTTGTTCATCCATCGTGCAACAATCAGTTGGAGTGTAATAATCAAAACTTTTTTTTTACTATATCATCAAATAATTCCCTTATTTCTTATCTTCTCGTGTATTTTTATATTGAAAAGTAAACAGTTTGTAAGGAACTCAAATCGAGACTCCGACACAGTAGCTCTGAAATATGGTATTCCAGTGTCTTTATCGAATAGCTCTTTTACTGTGACAGCATTCATCTTCAAAACTCCAGACAAATAATATAAACCTATCAGGGCTTTTATTTCAGAAATTGAAGTATCCCACTTGTAAGATGGTCTAACATTTCCAGGACCTTCGTCTAAAGGTAAGCGTCCACCTATCGGCATCGCATGCATCGCATCAAACGGACCAGGTTTGTACTATGCGTCCACTGTATCGGCACCGATCGCATTTTCTGACGCAACCTCTAGTAATCGGATTGCCGACGTCATTTTCATACGGATTTTAGTGGGAGTGTTACGTGTTGACGTGTTGTTTGTGAGATAATGGAAGAAAACGAAGAAGAAACTATCGTAATTGCTTGTTTGTTAGCTGAAGAAGAGGAAGAAAAAGCTAAGAACTCTAGAAAAAGGAAACATAACATCTGGGTACACGATATTTTCAAGAAAAGATCGCAACACGGAGAATATCACACACTGTTTCCTGATTTGCTAAACGATGATGCCAAATTCTTCCAATATTTTAGCATGACTCAAGTTAAATTTAATACTCTTGTTGACATCCTGAAACCACATTTATTAAGATAGAATACAGCATACAGGGAGGCTATACGACCAGAAGAAAGGCTTGCTGTGTGTGTAAGGTAATTATATATTAAAATAAACCTCGGTTACATATAGGTAGTTAGGTAGGCACTTATTTAAGACGTAAATATTGGCCGAGTGTCACATTATTTTTATCTTCTAAAATGGATTGGCTAGTGTCAGGTGGAGATATCATTGGCCTTTAGTTGGGTGTAGATGACCGAGAATACACTGTCGAAGGTTCCAGAGGCAGAATGTGAAGAGTTTCGTTCATAGCAGGTGCAGCAAACATCGTTGTATTTGAAGAAGCCGATTGTTAACCATTTTAAATGACTGAGCTTTAATGTTAACCTGGTCTTGTAAAGGAAAAGTCTTTACTGTTTTTGCCATATTAATGAAAAAATCGAGAAGAGAATCGCTGTGGTTTCTGGTTTCGGCCGTGCTTATTAAGTAATCTTGTAGAACGCTGGCTGCAGTTGGGCCTTGTGAAGCTTGTGAAGTTGCGAAGCTCGATTTCTTACGGATAATTCGTGATGATCCCAAGGATTGCACGGATTGTTCACTTTGTGCATCGCTTGATACATTGTTATCTGGATAACCTAATTCATTCAGTGACTCAAGTTGTGTTTCTTCGTTATTTTTGGCACTTCTAGGTGATAGGTTTGAACGCCGTTCTTCCTCATCGTTTAGATACGGTGTTAGAAAAGAAAGTTCTTGTGAGAATTTAGAAGCTGTTATCTTTGATGCTGCTTGGCCGCTTTTTGTCTTGTGCAAATTCAAAGCCTTCCAATGGTTATCTCTAATTCTGGTCCTTCGCTCCTTGCATGCATTAGCTGTAACAATAAATAAATACCTAAATATATGTTTTTGTTTCAGGTTCTTAACCACTGGGAACTCTTCGATCACTGTTGTTTCCCTTCAGGATTGGTGAACGAACAGTGCGAAGAATTGTATATTCCACCTGCGAAGCCATTATTCAACACCTACAGCCCATAGTAATGCCAAATCCTACTGAAGAGTTGTGGATTAAATCAGAAAAAGGTTTTCATAAAAAAATGGAATTATCCCAACGCGATCGCTGCTATTGATGGAAAACACGTGCTTATTCAGGCACCACCACACAGTGGCTCAAATTACTTTTGCTATAAAAACACTTTAGTTTAGTATTGTTAGCCTTAGTCGACGCAAATTATAAATTCATAGTAGTAGATGTCGCTACTTTTGGTAAGAACTCTGATGCTAGTATTTTGAGAAATTCGAGTTTAGGCTTACAGGATGGCACTTTAAACATACCTCCACATAAGATCCCACCAGGAGGCACTGAACTTTTACCTCACGGCATCGTCGGTGATGAGGCTTTTCCATTATGCACGTATTTAATGCAACCGTATTCTCGCGACGATGTCCAAAGAGATGAAGGAAAAAAAAAGTATTTAACTACAGGCTCAGTCGTGCGAGAAATACTGTAGAAAATACGTTTGGGATATTGGCAAGAAAATTGAGAATTTTTGAACGAAGATTGTCTATGCACGAAGAACATATTGTGACTGTTGTAATGTCTACATGCTGTTTGCACAACTTTCTAAGAGATGACACATGCTACTGGACAGAAAATGATTTAAACATTTTTCTTGCGGAAATGTCAGGGCTACAAAACCTACGAAACATAGGTGGTAATTCACGCACAGATGCTTTAACAGTCAGGGATAACTTCAAAAATTACTTCAACTCAGAAGTAGGGTCGGTTGAATGGCAATTAAGAAGAGTTCGGAGTGGAAGGCACGAAAATGTCATCATTATCATTACAGCCCTTCACAAGTCCACTGCTGAACATAGGCCTCCCCCCAAGTAATGCCACAAAGCACGGTCCTGTGCCACCTGCATCCATCGAGTTCCTGCATGTCTTACCAGGTCGTCACTCCATCTAGTGGGGGGTCGCCCTACACTACGCCTACCGGTACGAGGCTGCCACTCGAGAACCTTTCTTCGCCATCGGTTATCGGTTCTTCGAGCTATATGGCCGGCCCATTGCCACTTCAGCTTACTAATCCGTTGGGCTATGTCGATCACTCTGGTTTTACTGCGGATATCCTCATTTCTGAGTCTATCACGCAGAGAAACTCCAAGCATAGCCCTCTCCATAGCTCGCTGAGCGACCTTAAGCGTCCTCATACGGCCAGCAGTGAAGGACCACGTCTCAGATCCGTAAGTCATCACTGGCAACACGCACTGGTTGTACAATCTAGTTTTTAGAGATTGAGGTATACCTGACGAAAAGATATGTCGTAATTTCCCGAACGCTGCCCAGCCGAGTTGAATCCGTCGATTGACCTCTCGGTCGAAGTTGGACTTACCTAGTCGGACTATTTGTCCCAGGTAAACGTACTCGTCAACAACTTCGAGCATAGTGCTCCCAACAACTACCGGCATAGGTGTGACATGGACATTAAACATGATCTTTGTTTTGTCCATGTTCATCTTAAGACCTATCCGTTGGGAGGCACTATTGAGGTCATTGAGCATAATGCTTAAGTCCTCCAGCGATTCTGCCATAATGACTATATCGTCGGCAAATCGAAGGTGAGTGATGTACTCGCCATTGATGTTAATACCGTATCCTTTCCAGTCCAGTAGCTTGAAAACGTCTTCCAACGCAGCGGTGAAGAGTTTCGGGGATATAACATCACCCTGTCTTACACCTCTCTGCAGTTGAATAGGTTTCGAACTCTGGTTCTGTACTCGGATAGCCATCGTAGCCCTACTGTACAAACACTTCAGCACTTCGATGTACCGACAGTCAACCTGGCACCGCTGAAGGGACTGTAGCACCGCCCAAATTTCGACGGAATCAAAGGCTTTCTCATAGTCCACATATGCCAGGCAAAGTGGCAGATTGTACTCTTCGGTCTTCTGTACAATCTGCCGCAGGGTATGTATGTGGTCTATGGTACTGAAGCCTTTTCGGAAACCGGCTTGTTCGGGAGGCTGGAAGTCGTCGAGTCTGCGTGCGAGACGATTCGTAATGACTCTCGAAAATAGCATGTAGACGCGGCTCTGAAGGGAAATCGGTCTGTAGTTCTTCAAGAGAGCGTTGTCGCCTTTCTTAAAGAACAAAACCACCGCGCTTCTGCTCCACGCCTCCGGAGTAGTGCCACCATGGAGGACGGAATTGAAGAGCTTCCGAAGGACTTCAAGTACCGGTTTTCCACCCGCTTTCAGAAGCTCCGCTGTAATTCCATCCTCGCCCGGGGCCTTGCCGTTTTTAAGGTGGTGGAGAGCCATTCTAATCTCGCTCAGACTGACGTCCGGGATATCATCGGAATAGTGTCGGATAAGACTTGCTCTTGGATCGTTACTCACACTTGCGTGTGGCTCCAACGATGATGTGTACAGCTGCCCATAGAACCTCTCAATCTCACTCAGAATCTCAGGTGTCCCGGAAACGATGTTGCCACACTCAGTCTTCAGCTTTGACAGTTGGCTCTTTCTGGCAGACAGATCTCTGGCAAAGACTTTGGAGCCCTGGTTCCGCCCGATCGCTTCTTTAATACGAGAAGTATTAAAGTTGCGTAAGTCTCGCCGCATGCACGAAAATGTATAACAAGCAAAATAAACATAACCTACAAACTTACCGCTTTTATTAAATCTTCGTCCAATTTCTTCCCAGATATTGTCCCTCCTTTGTTGGTTAGAATAAAAAGGGTGTCTTAAATTATATAACTCTTCATACTCTTGCACGACTGCAATTAGTTGTGCGGCGTCCATGATGCAACAACGCATGTATCGACGTGCATGATTCGACGATCATCAAATGCAAATGGCGGGCGACCGGCGACGCGGAGCGAGCGCGCGCACTGTGCTTCCACTAATGGTGGTTAATATAGCGCATAACGCCATATTATAGCGCGCTATCTCTTCATAACGCATAGCGCGTGCTATGTAAGTAGTCGCCATGGCGCTATGACGCTATGACGCTTTGGCGCTATTCATATCAAGCGGCAACTAGTTCTAGCAGCAGCGCTGTTGGGAGTAGACGTGTGACGCAAATTTAATCTAGCAGCACGCTATTCATCGCGCGCGAACTAATTTAGTGTTAGACGTTGTTTAGTTAGTGTATATTTATAAGTGACACAGTTGTCTGCTACAAAAAGAAGCCTAACTAATGTTTTTAAATGTAAATAAAATATAGATACAAAAGTGTATATAATAGTGTTTGTAAATAGTTGATTTTTGTATATACAATCAATAAACTTTTAAATACACCTTTGATTTATAATTTATATTATGGTTAAAATAACGTATACATCAATTATAACAAAAAATGATTAATTTTATTTGTTTTAAAAAGTATTGTCCTTAAAATTATTTTAGGATTATAAAAAGTCGTAAGCCTAAAAAGTATGAAAGAGCGTTCTTTAATTTTTCTTTATTACTTTATTTTATTTTAATCTAAAATGCGACCTATTACTAAACAATGTTCTTATATAGCACGCGGTCTATCCAATGAACGACATGTAATGTAGCGTGCTCCAAGATATAGCGTGCTGCTAAACTTAACGCGCTTGCCGGCCTCCTACACACTTTTTTATAAATAGCGCGCTATAACATAGCGTATTTAATAGCGCGCTAGAAATTTCTAGTTTATAGTCTGTAGGGTGCTATTGATTTATAGTCGTTTTGAACAACTTTAGCGTCCACTGATCGACATTCCGTATGACGTATCGGCCATCGCAAAAGTTGCCCCTCGGGAGCATGAGCGTCGGCATTGCCGACAAGCAGATCTATGCGATCCGTACGATGCGGATTGGTGGACGTACTTGTATGACTTTCTATACAAAGAATACTACGATCCGTATGATGCGATGCGTGCGATGCCGATAGGTGGACGCTTACCTTAAATCGTAATTCTGTCTGTCGCTATTATATTTATGACGTTGTAATGTGATTTCATGATTAGTGAAAGACACGATACGCCCTAGTACATCTTCATCAAAAAACAAAGACGAAGCCTCTAAACATGTAGAAATTTGTTTAGCAGGTCCTTTATTACCGGGTGGGTGCAATAATATATTTCGTCTTGTAGTACGTCCCGAGAATTGCGGAGTTGCACCACTCCATTTGTATCAGTTTGCACCATATAATTTTGTGGGTGCTTCGAACACTTTTAGAAAATTACTTGTCCTCGCTTATAAGCTGGCTAAAGTCTGATTATGTTCTGAATCTGACGAAGATTCATTGTGGTGAAAGTCTTCAATGATTTCATCAAGGTTCGCCGTCTGACTCCGCGCCTCGAACGATCGTCATCGGAATCATACTCGAGAAAACGCTCAATGCTCTCATTCGTCAACTCTCTTCTGGAACCCGCCATCTTATTTCACAATACTTACAACCTACAAACGAAATACACTCCTAAACACAAGAACGTAGATATCACAATATTTATAGCTAAAAATACGAGACTGATTTATTTGAAATATTTGTGTATTTTACTACCCATAGGTGCTACAGCACCCTGCATTAATTATTTACAATACTTACCGGCATGACAGTCAATTTTCAACTAGTACAAAATGGTAAACTTGAATTGACAGAAGCCTAGACAGAGAAAACTATAGACAAATTGACGCTTTCTTTCGCATTCGAACACGAAAAAGATAGATTTATGCATACGTCTTGCATAGAAATGAGACAGAAAGGTGTGATTGTTTGTCCCTTTCTCCGTGCAGGTTTTTTTGTTTAGCAAACTACACTTTGCTAAACAACTTTGACAGTTCGTAGCGATCTAAGGAGTTTACAAGTTGGTTTAAAGTGTTGTGTGAGCATAAGATTGGTGAATCTTGTTCAGTTCAGTTCTTAGAACAATTAAAAACTTTAAAAATGGTTAAATGTAATGTCTTAGGATGTAAAAGTGATAGTGAACGTAAACTCACCGATATATCATTTCACTCGTAAGTGTAGTACATTATCTGGCATTACGTATAAAATTCAATTGTTATTTTAAATTTCGTTACAGAACTATATAAATATATGTTTAAATTTTATCTAAATATGTTTAAAAGTCATAAAGATTATTGTATAACCTAAAACCAAGTTGAAGACCTCTTTATCGTCCTTTCTCACTCGAGGCCACGCTAATCATTAGTCTATAGGTTTCTCTGTCTACGGACAGGAGATTAAAAAAATAACGAAGCTGTGTTGCCATTAGTTAAAAAATATTATCTATCAAAGTTACCACAGGGTGACACAGCACCCTGGGTAGGGTTCTAGGTTTAAGCAGTCAACCTTTGGGTAGGTAGGTAAGTAGGTATAAACTTGGAAAGTAAAACATTATTTAAATACAAATTTTGTAAACCGTTTCCACGAAACCAATTACCTTTAAATATATTATGTATGTATATTATGCTGTTAAGTTGAAGTCTGTTAGGACTGACTCTGAATGATAGGAATTGTGTGATGGGAGAAGAGTGTGGTTTGCGAGATATTATGGCCAGCATTAAAAAAGGTGAGCGTAGATATTATATGGATGCAAGGATTTTGGCTTAACCTTTGTCATTGATCTGATCTGTATTCCGTCGAGTCCTGAGATGCCTAATTTATTTAAAGTGTAGTGGCAGTCTTCTTAAATCCCTAACAATATCATCCCGTAGGTGTCAGAGGCCACAGAGGGAAACAAATCAGGAGATGGGCAGAGAGTCTTCCTGATAACGACTAAAATAAAAACTGCGGTTGACAACCTGCTGCCTAAGCTTGGCAACTATGGAAAACATCCCCCCATCGGGCAATCTCTGGGGAGGACTATGTTCAGCAGTGGGCTTTAATGGGCTCTAATTGTAACGGTAATATAATAAAAAAATAAAAAAAAGCCTAGTATTAAATATTTACACGTAAATTTTAATACTAGGCTCAATTTGACTAATTCTTTTTGTTTTAACCGACTTATAAAAAAAGGTTATCAATGGTTATTAATTCAACTAAATTTTTTTTTAAATGTATATTATACAATATCTTTTTCGAACTGATTCTGTTCGTGAATCAATATAGTTTTTATTTAACAGTAGAGGATATCTTCCACAGTGAACCATATAAATTCAAATCCAAAGATGGTTTATATATATATTTTAAATAATCCAATTATTTGATAAGTTCAATTAGTTTTTGTATATATTCTAGAGAGTAGTAAATAAGAAACGGACCTTGAATTATATGCTTATTATTGAAAAAAATTGTATTTTTGAGATTTTGAGTACTGAGCTAAGGCGTTGACTGGGAGGAAAATATAGATCTAGCTTCATCGTTATGTTATTTTTTTTATAAAAAATTGTTGTGGTGTTACTATTAAAAATTGACTTCAATTTTTGTGTCAGTAAGTGTTGTGAAGTGTCTACCGAATTTACTTAGTGTATTGACTTTCTCACATTATTGTATTTAAAACCGTTATCTAAAGACACCATAAGGATTGTTGCATTTGTTTTATTATAGTATTGCGAATAATTAGTTTGAATGCACACATAATCACAAACACACGAAGACACACGACACGAACACACGGCCAATTTTTGTGTTTTACGTACAATGAGTGGATTGATGTACCTACCACTTTCTTCAAGTGATTAAGTTTGCTGCGTTATGTAAATATAAATAAAGTACTATTTTAAGGAAATTGTTTTATTTTTATCTAATTGACGTTTTATACGTGCTTGATCTACGCTGCAGCTGTAATATTAGATAGGAATGTCCTTCAGAGCGAATTTCTGTCTCGGCGGCCAGTCTTGGAAGAGACTAGTCGTCTGCGCGGGACAAAATTATAGTGCATTGTGTTGTGCACAGGCACAGGGGCATTGTATTCCCTCCTCTCACAGTCCGATTGGACGGCAATCCAACACCAATGAAGAGAGATCAAAGGCATCACCAACCTTTACCTGTTTGCCAGGGCATGCGAGTGAAACACTACCAACTTCTTGAATCCGGCGTGATATTGAGAACTAAATTAACTACAGGTTTATCGCTATCATATCGTTCTTCTCGAAAATAATGGAATCGATTATTAACCACCAGCTAACTTAAGGAGCACCAGCTTATTAGTGACGGCCAATACGGTTTCAGTCATGTTCTAGCTGGTGTTCTTGTTTACCTAACACATCGATGGGTGCAGGCTGTCTAGTCCAAGGGGGAGGTCTTGACAGTTGGTTTGGACATAACGAAGGCCTTTGATTGTTTGGCACAAAGCGCTTCTTTTGAAGCTTCCCTCCTATAGGTTTATTAAATGTAATTTTGGGTCACCGGTTTCCTCACAGATCTTAGCATTAAGGTCATGCATGATCCGACTCCAAGCCTGTGAATGCTGGTGTTCCACAAGGTTGCGCGCTATCGTCTATTGTGTTCCTTCTGCATATCACTATGTTTCAAACAATTAACATTAATTGTTATGAATAGATAGCACTGACAATGCCTCACCGGCTGTGCTTATATTTCTCGGAAACAAGTCGTCGAGTTCCGGAACAAACTGACGTCTGAAGTCTAGTCTTAGTTGAACAAATTCTCGGAGTGGAGGTGACTAAATCTAGTCCAGTTGAATTCCTAGAAGACACAAGTTTGCTCGCTTACCGAAAACGAAATTCTTTTTCGTATCTCCTTAATTTAAAGGCACTCTCCTCGTTGCCTCAGCAAGCATAGGAATCCACTGCCTCGACATAGTATCGAATGATCTTTAGTTCTGTGATCACTTGGAAGGGAAAGCCAAATTAGCCTTAAAAAGCTTGGCCTGC